ATCGTGGGTTGCGGTGGAAGATACAAATTCTAGGTATTCGGTTTGCTCTGCCGAGGAGTATATCGCGGTAACTGCCAGTGAGCACGACATGCATCGGGCATAATATGATCTACCTTCTACATTGTACGGAACATACTTTGTGTCTTGACTGTACATCTGTATATTGTTGTAATAATAATTTGTCTATCTTTTAGTCACGTAAAATTGTTTGGCAAAATAATTGTTATACCGGAAAGATCATACAGTTTTTTTTTTTTTTGTAGTCTTCATATTGACTTGAAAAATATAGAAGTTTGGAAAATAAATATTCGTTGATCCGTATCATAAAAATACAAAAACTGGGATGTGTTTGTTGCTTTGATTTGCGATCACTTTTTTTCAATTTTGTTTTAATAGTTGATATTTCACTGAAACCGGGCAAAGCAGATGTTTAAAAAACGTAATTGTACAATTGAGTTTCCAGGATCAATAAAAACTCTTTTCCATCCTGGACTTTAAGGATAATATTCACCTTGTAATGTGATCGGTTACGTTGGGTATCATAAGCTTTTTATAAACTTCATAATTTCAGGAAATTTAAACAGTGAATAATACAAACTGGAATAAACTAATGCGAATATAAATAACACCAAGGAAAGTTAAAAAGACAACTTTCATGGAGATTTTTACAAATTACAAAATAAATGTTTAGTACCATACTGTCTTCAGAGCATGAATAATTTTAAAAATATATAAACACATTTTTGCTTATACGTGTAACTGACGAATTAGTTCATAAAAAAATGATTATATATTGTAATGAGATAGTGTAGTGTATGCAGCTACATTTGGACTCAAAATTAATTTAGAGTACACATGATTAAAGTATAATAAACAACTTGTGATAAATATACTGTATCGAACACATACAGTTAGTAAAACGTTATAACATAAAATATTGATGGTTTTATAATATCGGAAGATACTTGGCGCACTGGAATCAAATAACTTAAGAGTGTAATAATGAACGTAATATTTCATAAGACACGCTCAGCCACTGACGGGTATGAAATCAATTAAACTCGGTTCTCATCTTGGTTAAATTTTATGTTGTTTTATCTCTAAAGCGATCTTTACCACTGAATATAGCATAGATAAAGATGATTCTCTTTTAATACATAAGATATCATAAATCATACAGTACTTTGCTCTTAATCATAAATGTTTGAACTTATGAAGCATATTGTTATGCATACAAACTACATGTTTTAAGACAACGATTACAAAAATTCTTACAGTAAAAACATTTTTTTGAGACTGCATACGGGACACCTGAATCATATTACCACGAGAATTTGAGTTATAGTTACCATGAGAATTATAGTTGTCAAATGATACAAAATGTATAAAATTACTATTACAAGATAACACCACTACAATGACGCATTATTATTTTTTGATACGTAAATGTTACTAAAATGTTCAATTTAAATGTTATTTTTTAATACACCTAATTCAATTATTGTTTAAAACCTACTAAAACATTTTTTGGAGATATTTTTAGGTCTGCTCGAGGTAATAGATTTTTTTGTCAATTCTGGTAACCGTGCATCCGCAATATCACTCATCATGAATTTTTCTAACCACATTGTGATGTGAGTAACTGTAATATAAAACAAGAATAAATTTGTAAGGCCTATTAAAAACACAATTAGAATCATAATTAGACATTTAGTTAATAATGCATTCTGAGTGTCAAGTTCATTCGCAACCACATATTCTATGCAATTGTTTTAATTACCAAACCACACACCCACTGATGAGGTGGAATGAGTTTTGACCCTTTAAATATTTTCTGCCCATTTCAACCACTATAAAATCTACCCTATTATTGGGTCATTAATTTAGCATACGTAAGAGTTATGCGCTCACTAATTAGCCTATAACTACCTAACGACACGTTAGTTCGCATTGAACTCGATAGATATTCGCGTATTATGGTGATTCAACATAAACTGAACAATTGTGAGATACAATTGTCATGAACACCTGGGTTAAGTATTCCTATAAAATGATATGCTCGTGTAACAGACATTGCAACTGAGCCAATGATAGCGCTGTTTGGTATTGGAGATAGATATCATTCCACTAAAATGATCTCTAAATTGCGCCGGAATTTCTAAGCCCAGTTCGGAATTGTGTGGGGGTAAACCTGGTTATGTATCGTTATAGACTAATTTTATACGTATAAAATTTTAATAATATTTTAGTGGATTATACTAAAGATTAGAACATGTCTCCGTCTGTATAAACATTGCCTTTTAGGTAAAAATCCCAAATTTTGTTTATGTTTAGAAAAACAGCCACTCTAAGAGTACACTACACTCTAAAATTAAATTTGCCTACCTTATTTTTCTACTGAAAAGGTTTACGTGGCATAAAAGCTTCTACAACCTACATCATTGTAGCTTAGCAAATAAATAAAAAAATATGCATTCAACAATATTCGGCAATTATCATCAGCACTTTCGGTGGTTCAATGTAACTTCGTCATTTATGTTACTCTAAAAAAAAAAAAAAAACTTTTGACAGCATTACCTTGGGGGTGGAATTTCCAGTTGGGCCAACAATAATTAAATATATAACCCATGAGATACTAGACCCTCAGATTAAGTTTTAACCCTCCAAAATATCGACCAATCATCACCCGTGATCCGATTAATGACTGTGGTTCAGTTTTATGATCTCGGCACCAACACCAACACGCAACGAAGACTTATTTCGTCCATTCGTTTTAATCCGCGTTTCAGACGAATAGCCCGAGACGTTAGGCTACACCATTAGGCCTCAGATAAATCGGAAGCATTTTTCATCTCTACATGTCTTGGGAAGCTTTTGTCGAGCATCTCGCTAGGGAATTTGAGAGACACATCACTCTCACTTTTCATTTAGAGCGAATCTTACACCTAGTAGAATTCTTGAGAAGAATTATTAGGTTAATATATTCTTTACAGGTTTGCATTAGTTTAAGAATGTGCAGAATAAAAAGTGTTGCCCATTAATAGTTTTGGAGCATGTGTTGTGGGGATAAACACAATGTCTTAAACAGAATTTTTTTTATGAGCAGTAATAATACATAATCTCGCACTCGTGGTCTGATAATAAAATTCGTAGAAACGAAGTACATATTTGAAAAAAAACACATGTTACGCACGATGTAACTAATCCAAACACGGCGACTTGGAGCTTAGCTTTAACTACACGAGTGGCGTGCTTATTTGTTGTATGAATTATTAAATCTATACAGAAATGTGTACATATTTAAAAAATCTTTAATTGAAGGAGTCACAAACCGTAAACTTCTCCTAACTTATTTAAATGCAGTTAGATATTATAAGATTGAGTTAGGACAAGGATTTGATTAAATATAACACTGAATATTGTATAAAAAGAGCTGTTTATGATGAAAATAAATTTCATTTTATTTTAGAAGCAGATCACGAATTCAGACTTCAACTAGAAATGAAACACGTTTTACTTTAGCCTCAAAGATGCATATTCATATTTTCTGCATTCTCGCCACGTTGCAAAGCACAAATAGTAATACTAATATAACATAAGGATCACCTGATTTCTTCTCATTTTATTACCCTTTCACAAAGTCAAATGTGTTTATAACCGTTATAAATCATTAAAAAATTAGATGGATACATTTTAAAATTAAACTTTATAAACATGCTTTTTTGTATACAATTTTAAAGCAGTAAACCATTCGGTAAGTAGGGAAGAGACATGGTTGAGTATAAATAACTGAGATGGATCGAAGAACGTCACCGATGTCAGCACGTGTGAAATGTGGTTTACAGTATCATTTCGTCACAATACCGCCTCTGGCGAGCCTTCAGATAACGTCAGAACACAACATCACATCAGGTGACATGATTGAAAAAAAATTGTGAGTGAGTAAAGTTAAAATGTTAGCATTCATTCAAATGTTTTTAACGCTAGTGACATGTTAAAACACTAATGGTCTCCTACTCGTAGTTGGGTGGAGAAATGGTCTTTGTCGGGACCACGTAAGTTTGCGGTTGAGGGAGGAGCCTAATTACCATATGGTTTTGAATGACCCAATGAGAACCGTGCGGTGTTACCAAATCTAATAATACCAGCTGATTTGAAAATATTGCTTAGTATATTTTAATTAGTGTTGTCAACGGGCGATGTGGCAACGTCGCACTAGCCTTGTCTTGTGATTGGCTGCCACCAACTGCAAACTTACGTGGTCCCGATAATAGTTGTAGAGTGTGGGATTACGGGTTCAGAGCAGAGTGCACTGTGCTCTCTGTTCCAGAGGTCCCGGGTTCATATTCCTCAAATCACCAAATTTTTTAGTTATACGATAAAGCCGCGACGATAAAGCCTTTTTTACGCTAAACACGAAGCAGTTATTGTTTTTCAGGCTGGACCTAGGGGTCCAACCAATTTGGCCAATTTGGCTAGTGCAACTAATTTGGCGGGATTCAACCCGAGACCTAAGGGACCGAAGTCACGCGATATAACCACTAGACCGCTCTCGCCTAACTAAACAGTAGGAATAACCTAGAGTGAGGTGTACATCTCTCCGAGCAGGGGGATATCATCGTTATAGGATGCGAAGGTGGGACACAGAATTTCTTACAAGTTTAGTGATCATCTCACTAAAATATTTGTTTCTGCGTTTGTTAAACAAATTAATGCTTATGGTTTTTTTATGTGTTAGGCCTATAGCTTTTTAGACATATAATCAAATGTGAGATCATGCCATAATTCAGTATAGGCTATGACCTCTAGTGGTGCCAGCGTTGACTTGAATCGTGGTAAGTAAAATTAGGCTACCAAAAAACTTTTTTGGTGGGTTTTTTTTTGCAGTGCGATATCTAACAATCCTACCAAGAATTGAAAAATCGTGCACGATTATGTAAGTTACTTTTATTTTGTCAACTGCCAAAATATATCATGGTTAAACAGGTTAAAAGTACTTACATGATAATTCTCATGACGGATGCTAATCTGAAAATAAAAGAAACACTTATTAGTAACTTTTAACAAGACCTATGATTAAAACTATCCAAACCAAGTTAAAAGCAAAATGGCAAGTCACATGCTACTCGATCCTGTACTCACATCCCCAGTTGAGTACAGTTCACCAGTTTTTTAAGCAAATAATGGTTAAGTATGAGTCTTAAGAATATACAGTGTGTAAATTAAGTATGGAAACAAATCTGTACTTTTTAAACCAAAATAGATAGAAATATTGGGTTTGTGGCATTGACTGTTAACCAAGGTTCCGCAATTTTTTGCATCAGAAAAAATTTTTCACCCCCTCAGGGGGGGTAGGGGTAGGGGGTAACTTAATTTTTTTAAATAGCAACCCCTATTGAGTGACCTCTCATTTTGAAGGGTTTGTCAAAAGAAATACAATGCCGTAAACCTGAGGTCGATATCTTACCCCTAACCAGAATGGCGGACATTTTAAATTTCGAGATGGGCAAACGAAATCCAGTGTGGATACCCATAATTTACCTTTTAAATGGGTTACATCGGGTAAGCCGAACTCCAGATACCATTATTAGATTGAAAAGTGGATGTTTTTATCGTATTCAAAATTTTGCCCCAGCCCCGTGCAGAATGATAAAAAATCCGTTTATCCTAAAATAAATGGTGGTCAAGAACCAAATGTCAATTAATTATGTTTATAATTATGTAATAAAATTATAAAAAGACATTTTATAAAAATTATTATAGTAATTAAGTAAGAGAGGGGGTTTTTATAGGGGATTTTGGGGGCAGCCCCAAATTTTTAAACGCAAACCCCTATTGAGTGACCCCTCGTTTTGAAGGGTTTGTCAAGACAAAAGCAGTGGCACAAATCTTAGGTCGATATGTCATCCCTAGACGAAATGGCAGGCATTCAAAAACTTGATTGGGTAAAAAAGCGCCCATTTCACCAATTAAAAATGTTGAATGCCTGTTATAGTAGCCCCTATTGAGTGATCAGTCATTTTATAGCTTTTGTACCGCTAAACCTGTCACAAACGAATTGTTTGAAGTACAGATAAGACAGGAAATAAATAATCTAGAGCACAAATAATACACATCATAAATAATAACACATAATAACACTAATTTAATACTGTAAAACACACACACAGACAAAAGGTATTACTATTAAAGTAATGTTTGCTGCTATTACCTGAATAATTCATAGATGTTGGAATTGATGGCCAAGAGCAACTTGACAAAGTCCTAAGCGATTGTAAAATTCGTTTAATACTCTGCCAATTGTTTGCTGATCAATTGCCCGTGCTTCCGCCAGAATCCTTTCTGAAAGCTCTTGTAAGTTTTCTGGTCGATTTACATACACTTTACTCTTAAGATATCCCCATAAAAAATAATCCAAAGGGGACAAATCGGGAGATCTTGCAGGCCATTCTATGGAACCCCTTCTACCTATCCACTGATCTGGAAAAGTCTGGTCCAAATAGTCCCTTACATTTACAGCGAAGTGGGGTGGAGCGCCATCTTGCTGAAACCAAATACTTTCATCCACGGCATGCTCTTCATCCTCAGGAGGAAACTCTCTTGAAATAGCGGGTACAATAGACTCGCGCAACAGGTCCAGGGCCCTGTTTCATAAAAATACTAGTCTAGTAATTACTAGTCTAGTAAATACTAGTCCCGTATTTACCTGTCCTACTAATTTGTGTTTCATAAACGTTTTTATACCGCTAGTAAATACTAGTGTATTTTACTAGTCACGTGACCAAAACTACTAGTCACGTGACCAACTTTACAAGGTAAATTCTCAAAACAAATTTCTAACCTCAATCACGGGTTTTCAAACCATTCATAAAGGGATTTAATTTTGTTTTCATTTGATACAAAAAGTAAATAGTTGTAGAAACGCAGTGTTTTCTTTAAATTAATAACTATATAGACACATAAGTAAAACAATCACATATTATTTATCAAAACGCTATTATTTATGTTCATCAATGAGCCCGCCGACGGCGCGGCGCGGCGTCGCGTCGCTGCAATCAACACGGTGATTGTAGTAGCCGGTTGTAGGCCTAGTTGCGGCGCTCAACAGAGTTGGGTAAAAAAGTTGATCTGTTGCTGCCGCATTCAAACAATTTGTATGGTTTTTGTTTTATTCTGACATATAAAATTTAGCTTGCTATGATTAAAGAAAAGAAGACTCAAATTTTGAATGTAATTAAATCGTCTAAGGACATTTTGTTTGGAACGTTTTCAAGTACCCTAACCTATGTTTTCAAATATTCGAATGCATAAGAATATTTGGGTTGAAAACCATTTGGTGATATTCTAATTTTGAGTCTACAAACCATGAGTAATAAGCCTAAACGTTTATTGATGTAACAAATAATTGCAACGCCGTTACAAGCAATAGAGAAGTAGGTTTTCAAGTATAGTAAAACATGGCATAGGCGCTACGGCAGGGCTTAGCTCAGAGGCAGAGTTCTCGCTTGTCATGTGGTCGGTCCCTGGTCCAAATCTGCGCCACTCTACTTTTTATTGCATTAATTAAACTTTTACATGTTTTTACATTAAAGTAATAGCTCTAATCAACAACCAATTTTTTTTATTACCTACTTTGAATAACAAATTCAGAATACCAAAATGGATTGAAAGTAATGTTTTATGATAAGCAGTTAAGTTCAACGCCCAAAAATCAAATATAGGTCTACAAAATTGTTAGTACATCACAGGGTTTTAGCTATTTACGGAAGCAAATAATAAGCACCTCAAAAAATACAATGCAACTCCTTTTAGCGAATTTCCCATATAGGGAATAAGCTATTACCGTAGTACTCATGGTAGGACCTGGACCCGGGACCGATTTTTTTTGTCGTTTTGAGGTCCCTAGAGGCCAAAAACACCATCCGTTCAAATTCATATATATATATATATTTATATATATATATATATGTATATATTTATATATATATATGTGTCCGTTAGCGCGATAACTCGAGCAAAAATGATCCGATTTTGATGAAATTTGGTACAAACGTGTAAACCTACGTTTATTCGAACGAGTTCGCGAACCAGCATGATCGGACCATGGGAACAGGGGTTTATGGGGGCTTTTATGGGGTAAAAATGGGTTTTTCCTATTTTTGACCCAAAAAACATAAAATTTTGAAATTTCTTTCCAAACTATTTTGTAGAGCTTAAAAAAACAAATAATTTAGTATATTGAAGCGTTATAATGCGCCTAATGGTTACGGAGAAAATTCCAAAAAATTGTTAATTTAAAATTCTCATGTTATTCTTATGGAGAATAAGTAAACCGTTGTGGTGTGCTTGTTTATTAACATATTTTGCCCAGATTTGGAAAATGCTTTTATTTCTTACTAACTATTAACATTTTACATTAAAAAAACACTTTTACCCTCCCTGTTGCAGCAAACCTAAGTATGTGTTAAACTGATTCTATTTAAATAGGGAATAAATGTGATATTTTTAAGGAGACATTTTAGTCTAAATCCAATCAGGCAAATGGAAATTCGCTTAGTCTGCAGGTTTGCTGCGGCGGGGGTATTTAAAATTGCCTTACTATTATTTCCTATTAAAATGTCTTTAAATAAAACCGAGAGCCTTAATTGGGTGTAAAATAATCTGATTAATACATTTTTGTACATCTTTGTATTCAAAACGATATGCGGTTTTAATTTGGTTCCTATCAAAGCTTAAAAATTTTTTCTCTGTGATAGCTAAATAGTTGATATAACCATGAAATTTAACTCAAGTAAAATTAGACTAAAAATTCACAGAAATTGATAACTTAATCATAATTATTCTAATAGGGCGATTATACATACATTATAAAATTGAATTTCACTCATTTTGTACCACGCCACATTTATTGATTGTAATTTATATCTAATAAATTATCATTTTAGCACTCACAGATCTATTCGTGAGCCAATTCGCACTTGCAAAAAGAACTTAATAATTCATTTTTTTTAATGATGTGAGTAATGAAATAGCTCTCTTTCCAAAAATACTAGTCTACTTCAAATAATACGGGTGAAGAGAGGTTGGTAGGAAATAGCAAGTATTTACTAGTGTAATTTACAAGAGTAAAACTTTATGAAACACATTGCTGTCTACACTAGTAAAAACCACTAGTAATACTAGTCCCTACACTAGTAACTAGTATTTTACACTAGTAGGTTTTTGAAACGTAGACTTGTAAAATACACTAGTATTACTAGTCCATGGACTAGTAAATACTAGACTAGTATTTTTATGAAACAGGGCCCTGATAACGATCACCATTTAAATTACCTTCAATTATAAAAGGTCCAATTACCCTAAATCCAACTATTCCTGCCCAAACGTTAATCTTCTGAGGGTTTTGTGTATGGCATTCTTGAGCCCAATGTGGATTTTCATCAGACCAGTACCTCGAGTTTTGTCTATTGACGTGTCCATTGAGGCTGAATGAGGCTTCATCAGAAAATACTATTTTTGTTTTAAATAACGGATCTTGGATACACCGCTGCATCATTTCTTCACAAAATTGAATTCGACGATCAAAATCATCCTCGTTCAATTCATGAATTAGCTGTACCTTATAAGGATGAAATTTTTCGGCTTTCAGAGCTTTATGAACCGAAGTGTGACTTAAACCTAGATTACTACCGAGCTGACGAGTAGATGTAATGGGATTTTCTTGAATACTCAAAAGCACATTCAGTGTCATGTCTTCTGTTACAACTGATTTACGTCGACCAGTTTTAGCTTTATTTGCTACATCCCCTGTTTCCAAGAACTTAGTACAGATCTTACTTACCGTAGATCGGTTTATTTGATGATCTGGGTACAGTTCATTAAATAACTCACAAGTTTCTTGATATGTACGTGAACTATCCCCATACCCAACAATGCGGAGAATGTCAATTTTTTGCTGTGTACTTAAAAGAACCATTGTTAAACAAAACTACAGAAGCACTTGAATACACCTCTCTCTACAAAATTAA